TGGTGGTGCGTGTGCTGTATGTCCATATATATGGTGGTGTGTGTGCTGTACGTCCATATATATGGTGGAGCGTGTGCTGTACGTCCATGTATATGGTGGTGTGTGTGCTGTATGTCCATGTATATGGTGGTGCGTGTGCTGTATATCCATGTATATGGTGGTGCAGGCACCATTTATCCATATATATGGTGGTACATGCACTGTGTATCCAAATATATGGTGGTGTGTGCTGTATTTCCATATATATGGTGGTGTGTGTGCTGTATATCCATATATATGGTGGTACATGAGCTATATATATATCCATATATGTAGTGGTGTGTGTGCTGTATTTCCATATATATGGTGGTGTGTGCGCTGTATATCCATATAGGTAGTGGTGCATGTCCTATATGTCCGTATGCATGATGGTGCGGGTGTACTATTTCTGGAAGGGTCCGCAGGAAGCATTAGCAATAGCCTGGGGGAAAGAAGACATTTATGGTTGGTTCTTTTTACCAACTGAATTTTTAAACATGTGAATAAATTACTTAAACAGAGTTCCAACAATAAAACCAAGCTACACACGGGCATTAGGCTCCACAGTGTGTAAAGTAGACATGACCTCCGAAAGAAAGAGAGGCTTTTGGTGAAGGCCCTGGGCCCATCTTCACTTTGCGTTCGCTGTCAGCGACTTCCCTGGGCTCTTTACCTCTCTCCGTGAGGGTGGGAATGGGGTGATCTGCTTGGAAATATACCTCCTTTCGTACATGTTCTGAAAATGCTAGGCATTCCTTTCCCCCTGGAATCTGACACCTAGACAGGAACCACACAGAAAAGTGTGTAGTCACGTCTCTGCTGTGTAATCTTCCTGCACTGTGGTTTTGGAGGTTGGATGGTGATGGGCAGTTGATGTGCTTGTTGCTTCATTTGAGTCTCATGATGGCCTCTACATTTTTCCCCCTTTCAGTTAACTTGGAGACCATGTGTGCTGATGATCTGCTCTCAGTCCTGTTATATTTGCTTGTGAAAACAGAGATCCCCAACTGGTAATATTTTTGTTAAGACACTTTTACAAAAGTGGCAGTACGGTACCCTGGTAGTTTTTAGGGTGACTCTGGGCAGAGCTACCTTTAATTGAGCACTTCCTGTGAGCCTGGTGCTGTACCTGCACTCCCTTCACCCTGCAGCGGGGAGGCTGTCACTTCTTACATGTGGGAAACCAAGGCCCACACAGCTAGCCAGTGGCCCAGCGGGAAGCTGATGCCAGTTCTGTCTGACCCGAAAACCCATCCTCTTCCCACAGGACCCCACAGCCCACTTTACAGTCATCAGCTCTCTAAAAACTAGCCTATTCCAGAAAGGTGACAAGTAGTTTTTCTTGTTTTCCTAATTGCACACACTCTAAATAGAGATCAAGGGGGTAACAGTCGTGGCTTCCTGGAGCTTAAGCCAGCTTACTTTAGGTATTCGATCAGTCAGCCAAGCTGATAGCGTTGTTTTTGCAGAAGTGATAATTGGGTATACAACGATAAAACGTTTTCCCTTTTCTTTTATCAGGATGGCAAATTTGAGTTATATCAAAAACTTCAGGTTTAGCAGCTCGGCAAAAGATGAATTGGGATACTGCCTGACCTCAATTGAGGCTGCAATCAAATATATTCGGCAAGGAAACCTCTCCGTTAAACCGCCCGTAAGATCTCGCTCCTGCTCTGGCCTTTCTTTGTGGGTATCATGGCACATTTGATACAGTTCTAGAACTGATGTGTGGTAGGGATTTGTGAATGGTTTGTCAGGATTGAGGCCTCAGCTGTTGAGGGGCTGTGGTTCTTGAAACTCCCCAGCAAACGGAACACTAAACACCCAGTGGATTGTAAAAGTGGGTGGGTTGTCCTGGGGATCCACAGCGTCTCTTTCCCCGTGGTTAATCCCCGTCGTCTTTGAAAGGACATGGGTAGAAGGTGGTTTCTCAGAAAAGGAAGCCAGAAATGGTGAATTTGGATTTCTTGATCATGATAGGCAAGACATGAGACACTTAATGAATGCAGTTTTAGGACTCAGTGGCCCTGTTTTTGTTTTCCTGGTTAGTTGGTGAGCTTTAGCTTGGAGAAGTGGTTTTGTTTCTATGTGCATTGGAAAAATCTTAAATCAAGATTGTATTGCTGGCCTACTTCAATATATAACAGCCAGTAAAACGTGACAATGCACAGACATCACAAAATTTAAGTCAATGAAATTAAGAGATTTCCATATTACAAACCTGAGGATTGGACATTTATCTGATCTTAATTTTCTGCTGATTTCAGAATCTTTCAAGGTAATGATAAATTGAAATGTCTGGAAAAGAACATAGGCCTGTCCAGACAGGTCCATTAGGGTAAAAAGCCATTGCCCTGAATTTATTCATTTGTTAACGTTTTAATGTACTTTCCAGTCTTATTCTTGTGTATGTATGTTTTGCATAATTGAGATTATATTGTGTATAGAATTGTATACTGCTTACCCCTAAAAGAATAGCTTTATTTTTTTCTGAATTAGAAGACTAAAATTTGCTTATAAATAATATTTGCTTATAAATATAAATAAAATTACATGAAGGTGACAAAAACTCCTCTAACTTCATTAGCTAGGGATAACTTCGATTAGCATTTTGCTATATGCTTTTTTTTGTGCATGTACAGTTTTATTTTTAACCAGAATATGACGTCATGCCACACTTGCTGGCCATGTAGCCTGACAGTCTCCTGGTGCTTGACAAAGAATTCATTTCTGCTCTTGTCTGGGGTCTGATTCGGCCCCCTGCTGATGTGCAGCTGAAGTTAGAGGCTGTCCATCTATCTCTGACGTGGCTGGCTGTGGCTTTTCTGAAAAGTTGTTTCCTTCAGCCTTGTTTTGTTTCTATATTTAGGGGCGCTCTCTCAAATTCTGGAACACACGTGTGTGCAAAATCAGAACTGCCGTCAGCCCCGTGGCTGGGGAGTAAGATTTCTTAGTGTGAGTTGTCTTCTGTGAGGTTCTAGGACCTTGTGGCACCCTCATGGTGTCTGGAGCAGTGTTTACTCATCTGTGCTGACATTCAGGTTCCCCGAGATGGGGGCACCCCACCCTTCTGGTTCCTTTCCACCCTTCTCCCCCTCTCCCCCACCCTTACTGGTCTGAGAAGGCACTGCCCTCCTGCTCCACCACCCAGCAGAGGAATCTGGCCTGATGCCCCGACGGGGCCAGGGACATCCCTTGTCACCTGGAGGTGTCCAACTCTTGAAGATGCTCCCCTCCCCTTGCTCCCCCTAGCAAGTCTGCCTTCTGTGACACTTAGACAGTAAGGCCAAGACTTGAAGACCTTGGGCCAGATTATAAGGAAGGGGCTGAAAACAATACCAGTCAGCTTTTTACACCTGCTTTTACTTCAGAGAATGTTCCAAGTGGGACTGGGGGGAGCTTGTGGGCTGTGGCCCCTCTTGTGTGGCTCTTTGTTTGTGTCCAGTCTGCTGTTTGACCCTGGGCAAGTCCGTTTATTTCTCTAAGCCTCTGTCCATTTCTCATCCACACTGGGGATAATCCTGCCTATTTCACCCTTTGGTAGGTGGCTGTGAGCATCAAACGTGATATTTGAAAGCACCATTTTGAAGTGTGCTGTGATGCAGGAGCCCCTGACTTGCTCTTCCAAATGTCCCCACACCTGCAGTGTCTCTTGCTTTTTGGTTCTCTGGTGAATCCTGTGTGGATACAAGGACAGTCTTTCGCTTGGGTGGGCAAGGGGTCCTGACTGATGGTGGTTGGATCTGCTAGGTGTTGGGACAAGGTGTGCACACCCTCAGGGCTTGCTGTGAAGCCCGTCCCTCAGCTCTTGACTGAAACAGGCCTGGGAAATGCTCTTTACCTTTATTTGGTTTGGGTTGTTATTGACAGAGCAGGTACTGTGGTTTCCTTCTCTTCTGCGGTACCAGCACTGTGGTTCCATCATATTGCTTCTGTCTTCACTTGGTGACTGGCTCCTTCTCCTTCTTTTTTTATTGTGTTTTCGTTGTGACCAGATACAGTGTTCTTTTAATGCTGACAGTGAGTCTCCTTTTTCCACTTGTGTGTGTAATAAAAACCAGTTCATGTTTTTGGCGGCCCCTTAATGCCAGGATTACAAAACGGAGCATAAACAGTCTGCAGAAGTACAGAAATGAGTGAGTGGCTGTGTGCGTGTGCTTGTGTGAGATTAATTCGGCTCATTAGATCTTTATTTTGGTGCTTTTTAGCATTCTCATGTCAACTCCCAGAAAAAGTGGTCGGCTTTTTTTTTAAGTGTTTTTAATTGTACTTTAGGTGAAGGTTTACAGAATAGTTTCTCATTAAACAGTTAGTACACGTATTGTTTTATGACATTGGTTAACAAACCCACGACATGTCAACACGCTCCCGTCTCGACCTTGAGTTCCCTATTATCAGCTTTCCTGTCCCCTCCTGCCTTCTAGTCCTTGACCCTGAACTGTTGTGTCCCGTTAGTCTCATTTTATGGGCCTGTCTAATCTTTGGCTGAAGGATGAACCTCGGGAGTGACTTCATTACTGAGCTAAAAGGGTTTGTCCGGGGGCCATACTCTGGGGGTTTCTCCAGTCTTTGTCAGGCCAGAAATTCTGGGGGTTTTTTATGAGTTAGAATTTTGTTCTACATTTTTCTCTAGCTCTGTCTGGGACCCCTCTGTTGTGATCCCAGTCAGAGCAGTCAGTGGTGGTAGCCGGGCACCATCTAGTTGTACTGGACTCAGTCTGGTGGAGGCTGTGGTAGTTGTGGTCCATTAGTCCTTTGGACTAATCTTTTCCTTGTATCCTGTTCTCTTCATACTCCCTTGCTCCCGAAGGGGTGAGACCCATGGAGTATCTTCTTAGATGGCTGCTCGCAGGCTTTTAAGACCCCAGATGCTACTCACCAAGGTAGAATGTAGAACATTTTCTTTATAAACTATGGTATGCCAATTGAGCTAGATGTTCTCCAAGACCATGGTCCCCACAGCCCTCAGCCCAGCAACTCGGTCCCTCAGGGAGTTTGGATGTGTCTGTGGAGCTTCCATGACCTTGCCTTGTACAACAACTTTTTTTAAATTGTGCTTTAGGTGAAAGTTGACAGAACAATTAGTTTCTCGTTCAACAATTTATACACAAATTGTTTTGTAACATTGGTTGTAATCCCCGCAATGTGTCAACACTCTCCCCTTCTCCACCCTGAATTCCCTGTTTCCATTCGTCCCGTTTTCTTGTCCCTTCCTGCCTTCTTGTCTTTGCTTTTGAGCAGGTGTTGCCCACGTGGTCTTGTTTACGTGATTGAGGTAAGAAGCATGTTCCTCGTGTGTGTTATTGTTTGTTTTATAGGCCTGTGGTAATCTTTGGCTGAAGGGTGAACTTCAGGAGTGACTTCAATTCTGAGTTAAAAGGGTGTCTAGGGGCTATAATCTTGGGGATCCTCCAGTCTCTGTCAGACCAGTAAGTCTGGTATTTTTTTGTGAATTTGAATTTTGTTCTACATTGTTCTTCTGCTCTGTCTGGGACCCTCTCTTCTGATCCCTGTCAGAGGGGTCGGTGGTGGTAGTCAGGCACCATCTAGTTGTTCTGGGCTCAGGCTGGTGAAGGCTGTGGTACTTGTGGTCCATTAGTCCTTTGGACTAACATTTCCCCTATGTATTTGGTTTTCTTCATTCTCCTTTGTTGTGGACAGGATGGGACTAGTAGATGTATCTTAGATGGCCTCTCGCAAGCTTTTAAGACCCCAGACGCTACTCACCAAAGTCGGATGTATAACATTTTCTTTATGAACTATGTTATGCCAGTTGACCTAGATGTCCCCTGAGACCATGGTCCCCAGCCCTCAACCCAGTAACTTGGTCCGTCAGCGTGTTTGGATGTGTCTGAAATTGTTGTGCTGACTTCACCTATAATGTGAGCTATCTGTCTTTCTTTTTTTTGTTTTCATTGTGCTTTAGGTGAAACTTTACAGAGCAAATTAGTTTCTCATTCGACAGTTTATGCACAAATTGTTTTATGACGTTGGTTGCAATCCTCTCGATGTGTCAACACTCTCTCCTTCCACATCCCCATTCCCCATTTCCATCCGTCTGTTATTACTGTCCCTTCCTGCCTTCTCGTCATTGCTTTTGGGCAGGTGTTGCCCTTTTGGTCTCATGTACATGATTAAACTAAGATGCATGTTTCTCGTGTGTGTTATCGTTTGTTTTATAGACCTTTCTAATCTTGGGCAGAAGGGTTTGGATGTGTCTATGAAGCTTCTATGACTTTGCCTTGGTCATATTGTGCTGACTTCCCCTATATTGTGCACTGTCCTTCCTTTCACCAAGGTTAACACTTACCTACTATCTAGTTAATGATTTCCCCTCCTCAACACTCCCCTCCCTTAGCTATCAAAGATTATTTTTTTCTATATGTAAACCTTTTCTGGAGTTTTACTAAAAGTGGTCTCATACAGTGTTTGTCCTTTTGTGATTGACTTAGTTCCCTCCAGATTCATTCATGTTGTGAGATGTTTTACAGATTCCTCATTGTTCTTTATCATTGCTTAGTATTACATTATGTGTATAATAATTTGTGTATCCATTCTTCTGTTGATGGGCACTTAGGTTGTTTCCATCTTTTTGCTATTGTGAATAATGCTGTAGCGAACATGAGTGTGCATATGTCTACTTGTGTAACGGCT